TCCAACACTTCAAGGCAAACACAACTGCCACTAACTCCAGATCATGAGTAGGGTAGTTAAGCTCGTGAGTCTTCAACTGTCGAGACCCATAAGCCACTACTCTACCATCCTGCATCAACACACACCCCAAACCATCACGTGAAGCATCACAATAGATCACATAACCCAAGCCACGCTCAGGTATCACCAACACTGGAGCTGTAGTCAATCTCGTCTTCAACTCCTGAAAAGATGAATCACAGGCCTCATTCCAGACAAACTTGACCCCTTTCCGGGTCAAACGGGTCATAGGAGCTGCCAAACGGGAGAAATCCTTCACAAATCTCCGATAGTAACCCGCTAAACCAAGAAAACTGCGGATCTCAAACACATTCTTGGGTCGCTCCCAAGTCAAAACTGCTTCAACCTTTGATGGATTAACTGATACTCCACCTTCTGAAACAACATGCCCCAAAAACTTCACCTCCTGTAGCCAAAACTCACATTTCTCGTATTTGGCATACAATCGGTGTTCCCGCAAAATCTGTAAAACAATACTCAAATGGACCTCGTGATCTTCCCGAGTCCGTGAGTACACAAGAATGTCATCCACGAAAACTACCACAAACTGGTCCAAGTAATCGTGAAAGACGCGGTTCATCAAGTCCATGAATGCCGCTGGCGCATTAGTCAAGCCAAAAGGCATAACAAGGAACTCATAGTGTCCATACCGTGTACGGAATGCTGTCTTCGGGATATCCTCATCCCTAACCCGCAATTGATAATAGCCAGACCTCAAGTCAATCTTCGAGAAACAACTGGCTCCCCTTAACTGATCAAATAAATCATCTATCCTTGGCAAAGGATACTTGTTCTTGATGGTGGCATGATTCAACTTTCGATAATCAATGCACAACCTCAACGAACCATCTTTCTTCTTAGCAAACAAGACCGGTGCGCCCCACGGTGACACACTCGGTCGGATGAAACCTTTCATCCTCAAATCATCAAGCTGCCTCTTCAATTCTTCCAATTCAACTGGTGCCATACGATACGGTGCCATAGAAATCGGCGCGGTACCTGGCATCAAATCAATAGAGAACTCCACTCCTCGGTGTGGAGGCAACTCTGTCAAATCCTCCGAAAACACATCTAGAAAATCACAAACAACCGCAGGATAATCCTCTTTCCCAACATCATCTTCTTCGGCTATAAGGCTAGCCAAGAAGTAATCACCATGACTTCGTCCACGAACTCCATAAAACGATGAAATGTGGGAATCACTCCGATCTCCCACGAAAAAGAAACAGTCTCCCTCGGGAGTGCAAACTGTAACCCTTCCTCTGTAACAGTCGATCGTGGCATGAAATGAAGCCAACCAATCCATCCCGAGAATGACATCAAAACTAGTCATCTCCAGGAGGATAAGGTCAAACACAAAGGTCCGCCCGGCTATCACAATGGGACACTCCCGCACAATTCGGCTCAAAGACACTGAAACCCCAACTGGCGAATCAACACTCAACGCCTGTTCCAAGAAACTAACTTTTAACCCCGATGTAAGTGCAAATGATGATGAAATGAAAGAATGAGATGCACCAGAGTCAAATAAAACACGGGCCCAACAACCAAACACTGGAAATAACCTCGAATGACTGACGGTCCAGAAGATGCATCTGTCTGTGCCAGTGCAAAAACACGTCCCTGTGGTACCTGTGCCTGAGGACTGCCAACCTGAACACCTGACTGCTGCACTGACATAGTAGGAGTATCTAACTGATCGTGAACCTTGTGAAGATATAGTAGGCTGTGGTGGTGGTGGTCTGAAACCTGACTGAACTGTAGCTGATTGTGACGGCCTCTGCTGTGACCCTCTGCCACTAATGGTGCCTGCTCTCTGACTCGGACAATCACGAATCAAGTGACCCTGCTGGCCACACCCATAACAAGCCTTCGAAGCTGACGAAACTGAAGACGATCTCATCGGACAACTGGACTTGTAATGTCCGGGCTGCTGACACTGATAACAAACAACTGCACTCCTGTCAGATCCAGCTGGCATAGGAGTGGTAGGAGCAGATTTTGTAGACTGTTGCTCCTGAAACTGAGATGGACTGCCCCTGTTCCTTTTCCAAGAAGATCCCTCTGAGGATGGCCCTGCACCCCTCTTTTGCTTCAATTGCTCTCTTCTTGCATCCTTCTCTCTATTGTCAGCCTCCAGCATCAAAGCCTTTTCCACTGCTTCAGAGTAAACCTTAATAAACTGTGCCGTGATCAACGGCCTCATTCGATCATTAAGACCCAAGACAAACTTCCGAGTCTTATTAGCTTCATCTCTCACCACTTCTAGAGCAAAACGGGAGAGTGAGGTGAACTTGTTCTCATACTCCGCCACTGACATGTTCCCTTGAATAAGATTATGAAACTGGTCTTGTAACTCCCATCTTTTGGAAAGCGGAAAGTATTTTTCATAGAACAGTTCCTTGAACCTGTCCCAGCTCATCTCTTCAATCTTGTACTGGTTGGTGACTGACTTCCACCAAACCTTAGCATCCTTAGCAAACTTATACGTAGCTAGGATGATCTTTAGATGATCCTCTGTCACATCCATTGAAGTTAGTTGGGTTTCAACTTGATCCAAGTAGTCATCTGCTACCATTGGATCCGCACCACCCTCAAACATAACCGGCATCAGCTGAGAAAACCCCTTAATGATCTTGAGACGCTTCTGAGCTGGAGTCTCCTCAACTTGAACTGTAGGTTGTGGTACCAACTGCGGCTGAGCAACAATAGTTGCTCTCACGGCATTTTGCAACAATTGATTCAACTCTAGTGCCACAGAACCTTCACCAACTTCTACGGGTGCTTCAACATTCTCTCCTCTTGGGGGAACAGCTCTTGGGGGAATCAAGTCACTAAGAAGCATGTTCTCATCAACTGGCTCCGCCGGATTGGAGCTAGAGCTCTCACCAACATCATCCCTTGTTGGTCTAGGGCCAACTTCTCTAGGTTCCTCACGCCGTGACATCGTGCTATAAAACGAGAAAACGATTCAGAAACATGACACTAAGGTCCACTGTGGACGACTCAACAAGAATTAATACCGTACAACACTTAGCATGCAAGACTATGCAAGAAACATTTTAACATAAGCAAGTAAGCACATAGGCAGTTAAGCATGCTCATTTAAATAAGATACCACGTAGCAAGTAGTCAAGTAAACAATACAAACAACATCCCATGCGACTCTATGTAGGCCTCTACCCGTTGTCCTAAAGGTTTTCGAACCTTGGCTCTGATACCAAATTTGTAACGACCCTAGCTGATGCCAAGAATTTTACAAAAAATTCGGCATAACCTCCCCTAAAAATAGGCCTACCATACCCTGTTTAAATTCATTTTTAACCTATCATGGCTCAAATTCCGAATTCACGGCAACAGTATATGATCATACACAATCAAATAACACCGATAATTACTTTAACTAAAATTATCCTTCCCATTTCATCAACAAGGTTACATGACAAAGTTTTGCAAAATTTACATATATACCTTTATACTTTTAGTGCTTTGCAAAAATAATGGGAAATATACAAAAGACACAAAAGTGAGCTTCTAGTATCGCTCAAGCTTGAGGTGGGTTGTCGTCCACCGATTCTTTTCCAAGACCTGAAAAAAATGTATAAATAGTAGGGTGAGCTATATGCTCAGTAGGTGACACTTAAGACACAAATCTTGTGTCCTTGTGAATTCAAGCAAAGCATAGGCCAATGGGAGATAGGGATCATATAACGTAGGGGATCAAATACAACATACAAGTCAATTCCAAGTATAGACAATGCAATGCAATGAAATGAAATGCAATGCATGGCAATGACACTCCCCATTTTCATTCTCAAAATCATCACTTTCAAACGTTAATACAGTCCACCCTTTGGTAACCCCGCCGCGACAACGAAAGGAGGATTGGCTAGTGTCCCTGACCCTTGGTAACCCCGCGGCGTCATTATGGGGCCCAGCTAGCTCAACCACGCTAGGGCGACTCCCTAGTCCCTTCTAGGTTATATTAACCTCCGGCCCGTTGGTAACCCCGCAGCGACCGGATTTGTCAAAACCAATTTTTTTTTTCAAAACATTCATTCCCAAATCCCCATTTTCATTTCAAGACAACCACTTCCCTATTTCATGCAACCCAATGAGATGTAGGCTCATGTCATGATCTCAATATAATGACAAATGGGAACTTAGCACAATAATAAATAAGCATATTCTCATGGCATCATTATAGCATGTTAGTAACCTCAAAAAAAATGTAAACAACCATCACATAGACATACTTTTCATTCAACCATATTATACACATTTACATAACTAGCATGTTGTCAATTAAATCATTTTAATCAAAATCAACAACAATTAAACATACTATAACACACATAGAGGAGCATGATTCATTATAGAGCAAGATTCCACGGCTTAAGATGTCCCTACCTCAAAAATGAGCAAATCCTAGAAAATGGGTCCTAAATTTCGAAGTCCAAAGGGTGCACCAAATCTGGAATTGTTGGTATGGATGTGTAGAGCTCGACACAAGCTTCGTTTTGCCTCAAACGGAACCTCAATCCGACAAAAGATGAAGGAGTAATCAACAATGGAAGCTTGAAGTGAAAAGAAAAGAAAAAAAAGACAAGAAGGAGAAGCAGGCGTCTGTCGGGAGAGAGAGAGAGAAAGGCAGAGACCAATTTTGGTTTCACAATTCACTTAAAAAGTGATGTGGGTCCCACTTCTTTTATAATTTCTTTTTCTCATTTTCTTTTTCATTTAAATCACACACCACACACACACACAATTATATACAAACATCACATCTTTAGTTTCATGAATTTTCCAGCTCGAAATACTAATTCATTACAAGAGGAAACATCAACTAATTCTAGCTCCATCAGGCAAGGCAAATCTTTAAGGGCTTCAAGTGGGCTTCCCTGCAATCCTGACCACTTCAGCCTAATCCTGAACAGATTTCAAAGCTCGGAAATCCATCCTGGTAACTTTTCTAGGCGCCCTTTGAGATATAGACATTGCAGATCAGGCGGCGGACTAGTCATGTGGTCCAGATCAAGAGACTTATTAATGATGTTAATTGAACTTAGGTCAAGAGTTAAAAGATTTTGCATCTTTTGAATGCATGCACACAAATCCTTTCCATCTTTTGTTTCGAGCTCTATTAATCCCAGCTTCCTCAGTTGGGTCAGTGCTCCTAGCTCTTTAATAATTTTCCGATGCTTGTCCGGCTTTACAACTGACAACTTCTGTAGGGCAGTTAAAGCCCCAATTCCTGCAGACAACTGCACTCCTTGGACAGTGTTTGAAGCTGCAGACGATTCCACTCCTTGGACAGTGTTTGAAGTTGCAGAAATCTTTCGGCTGACTAAAAGATGTCGCAAATTGACAAGTCGGACGATTTTTGCAGGCAACTCTGTCACAAAAGTTTGCTTCAGGTCTAAAGTTTCAAGTTTTGTGAGCTTCTTTATGGACTTGGGAACCACCTTCACATTTGTATGGTTCAAACTCAGATATCTTAGAAGGGAGAGATGATCAATACCTTCAGGAAATTTATCTACAGGAGCATTCTGCAAATCTAACACTCTCAAATTTTTGAAACCACGTACATTTCCAACATCAGAGTTAGAAAAGTTTTTCCAGCTGAAAAAGAATGTGGAGCGAACACTGTTAAAGCTGCTTCTCTGTGACAAAATGGCACTGGTATTATGGATAGATAGCCGTCGAACTTTGTCACTTGAAAGCGAGTCATTCAGTTCAGAAAGAATTGAGACAAAATTCTCATCCTCAGACTTGGAAACAATGAAGTCAAGCACAAGGTTTCGAACTCGGCAACATCTTGCTCGCCCATCAAAATCCCATTTGCTTACATCAACCAAATTCCTTTCAATTAGTTTCTTGAGGTAATCCTCCGCAACCTCCTCTGGTGTCTTCCCTTTTACTTTCATCACAAATCCTTCAGCTACCCACAAGCGTATAAGCCTTCCACGCTTAATAGAGTAGTCCTCACGAAAAATGCTGAAGTACAAGAAACAACACTTGAGATGACTTGGAAGGTCCTCGTAACTTGGCAGTAATATTTTGCTTATAATGGAAAGATATTCGGCATCAGTTCCAAGGCTGTCATGCAATTTCTTCCATTCATGATTTGGAACTTGTGGCTTATTTGACAGCCATCGTCCTACTTCTTCAATTGCCTCGGGTAAACCTTCACATCTTTTCACAATTTTCTGAGACCATCCCTCCAATAGTGGAGGACAATTTTCGACACTAGTCTGAAAAGCCTTCTTACAGAATAGCCCCAAGGCCTCTTGCCATGGTAAACAATTTAGACTATGGATGCAATGTTGTGACTCCGCACAGAACGAGGCGACATCTGTGTTCCGAGTAGTGACAATTATTCTGATGCCACTGGAACCATTGGGTAACACTTTTTTAATGCGTTCCCAATCACCTTTGCTCCAGATATCATCTAAAACAAAAACGTACCTTTTTTGATGCAAATAGTTCCTCAGTTTAGCCTGTATATCAACACCTTCACGGACAATCAGCTCCTCCTCAGGCACACCAATTTGCTTTAGAATGTTGTTTATGAGCTCCCTCATTTTAGGAGAACGGGAGACACGGACCCAAGCATGGGAATCGAAGTGTCCTTGAACTTCTTCGCTCCTATAAACACTCTTTACAAGAAGGGTTTTACCTGAGCCACCAGGGCCAACCACTGAAATTGTCAAGTGGTTCGATCCTCCTCCTGTCAATTGACGAATAAGATCTTCTCTAGGCTTCTGAATGCCCACAATTTCGTCTTCAAGAATTTGGGGAGTCGAATGATGTTCCACACCCGAGCTTGAACTTTCGCCATCTTCAGGAGTGACTGTGTCAGCCGGACAAACTAAATCCAGGGTTAAAATGTCATCTGTCTTTCTCTTTATTTCTTTTATATTAGAGATCACCTCATGAAGTGGTCTCCAATGTATGACATGATTCAAAAATCCACGGGCTTCATTGGAGAGTCTATGCCTATGAATTCGATGTGGCACATAAAGCATGTACTCATCAAGAATATCCTCAATGTCATAAGCTAACTCTCGGATTCGGCGTATGCGTATTTTGAGCACCTTCTTGCTTTCTTTTCCTTCCATGTCCTTCACATAGGCTTGCATTGTCTCCAACCAATTTTTGATTTTTTCAATTTCAGTGCGCACAGTTCTTCCGAACTTCCGTTCTTGTTTGAGATAGGATAATACGTCGTCTGCAAAAATCAGTGCTGCAGTAACAGCTATGTCCGCCATTAATGCTACTTCCTCCTCCAAGTATTGCTCGAGGAAGAAAGATCCAGCTGCTTCCTCCTCCAAGTATTGCTCGAGGAAGAAAGATCCAGCTGCTACTATTATATTGAACTCTCCTACTCCAAGTATTGCTTGAGGAAGAAAGATCAAGCTGCTACTATTATATTGAACTATCCTCCTCCAAGTATTCTTGAGGAAGAAAGATCAAGCTACTACTAGTATATTTCTCAAAATTTATAATTTACCAGCATCTCTTCCCATCTTACATATATTTTCAACTTGAGAACACCTCTTTCAAAGAAATATCCCATCTTACATTTTCAACTGGAAAATACCTCTTTCAAGGAAATATCCTACTACGCGTTATAAGTTATCATCATCTCTTCCCATCTTACATTTTCAACTCGAAAATACCTCTTTCAAGGAAATATCTTATCACGCGTTATAATTTATCAGCATCTCTTCCCATCTAACATTTCAACTCAAAAATACATCTTTCAAGGAAATATCCTACTACGCGTGTCATTCAAATCAACAATGTCATGTCATTTTGCTGACTTGATATCATAAACCAATAAAATCTGTGTTAACCATGTTAATTAATGACTCTTTCAACTTTCACTTTTCTCAATTCATGCGCTGGTGAGTCACAGGCATACGTTTGCATTCAAACATTTGATTATTTTGTGAAATTTATGTAAAATATTGCATTGAATATTTATAGAAAAATAAGAGGGATAAAATATTTAACCTTTACAGGCACTAAGCATTTTGGAACAACAGCCTTACGAATAATACATCATCATTACATTTTACTTTAAAAGTTAATGATCATCACTGGCTTGGGATGTAATGACCCAAATTCACTGGATCCGAATCACTAATCGGGTCCTTACCCAAACCCGAGAACATACAAGGGTACTAAGGTCATTTCATAATAAATTAATCAGCATGATTTCTTTGACTAGTCCTCACAATTTTCCAATGCTTGAGCTTAATTTCATAAGCTTAATAAATGAACATTTTTATTTATTTAGGACCGAGTCATTTATTAGATTCACATATTTTTCCGAAGAAACTTCAGTTGAAGCTCTTTCGAAGCTTCCAATTAAATGACTGTCAAGTGGTCTTTGACTTCGGGGAAGATGCAATGTTGCTTCTGAATTTACTTACTGACTTTGTCTCTCCCAACTTGTTTCGAAAGCGATTTGAACTGACAAAGCTTACTACTGTTTTTCTTCTCTTCCTAGTTCTTACTGCATAAAAAATACAGGAATACAGGTCTTATTTTATTTCCGTCGTACAAATATTTACACAGGCATGGTTGTGTTGGTTCAGCCATGTTAACTCATGTTGCACAATCAGAATGTGACGGTGGAGTCGTGGACATAAGAACAGTCGGCATTTTTATTTGCAAGACGAAAATTTAATCTGTCATAGACTCGTATAACTTGTATAAGGTCATGTGGTCTTAATTCTTAGAATCTTCATCCATCCAAACCAACAGGAAAAAACACCACACTAGCAAATTTTTTTATTTGATTTGTATAGACATGAATATTTCTACTAGAATGCATTAGTCATTAATCACTTATTGAAATTTTATTTATTGTAATTAGTACTGAATTAGTTTTAATTACCCAAACCAAAAACACCGTTAGGAGCTTAATTTAATAAATTAGTAAGTTGCAAATTGTGCATATTTAATTTTAATTTTTATTTTTATATTATTATCAAGGAAGTAGCCTGTGCTAGAAAGTGACAGTAGGACATAAGAACATTTGGCATTTATAGTTTTGCCAGCCTTGAATTGATCTCTTTTATAGTACTTCCTTGACTTGTATAAGGCCAACTTGTGGCCTTAATTCCTAGTATATCTCTTCATCCGTCCAAATCCTATGAGAATCAATGCCCTAGAAATGTGGTTGGATTCTTAGTTTAGGCTTAAATGAGACATGGCTTGGATCAGAAAATCTAAATCATCTATTGTAGCTGAGTATCAATATCCAACGCTTTGAGCTTAATTCCTAGTATATCTCTTCATCCATTCAAATCCAACGAGAATGAATGCCCAAAAAATGTGGTTGGATTATTAGTGGCCTGAATTTTGTTTTGCGCCATCCAATTTTGACTCGGGGGAAATTCTTTTGGACAATAGGGTCCAGCCTTATCAGGACGAAGTTGGTCCTAATAAGTGACCAGGCCCAGCAAAAATATGACTAGTGTTTTAAAAAAAAAAATATTTGGATCAGACCCTTCTGAACGGGTTAGAACCCATCTCAAACCACACTATCAACACTAAAAACAAACCCTTAAAAACACACGATCGGATATGATCAAGATAAAAAGGCCATTGTGATGAACATAAGAATGAAAGAAAAAAAAAAAAAATTATAGATGCCATTTCAATGATGACAAATTATTATAACCGACCGAAATTAGCATTTCAATGATGACAAATTGATATAACCGACCGAAATTAGAGAAATATAATACTAATGGTTCTGAGTCAACTGGAAAATGCATTGCACCCAAGCCACCGCGTGGAAAAATGAGTCTATAATCATTTTACGCGTAGCATTCAGATTCCAATGTCTTGACATTCAAATTTGACAAGAATGAGAAACTTCCCAGTTAAAGTATTTTTAATATAGATCATCGTAAATTAACTTTCAATAAAAATCGAAGGACAGAATTTGTTTGACACTAAAAATTAAATCATAAAGCACCAATTTTTCAGTTGTCTTTTTGATCTTTACCTTACATCATTCAAGGTCAGTCAGCCCCTTATTAACTGATTTTTTTGCCTCATGATCATTTATTAACTGCCCATTTCACTGGGGACAATTGCCTCCTCTAATCTAAAAGTTTATTAACTGCCCATTTCTCTCTCTCTCTCTTTCACTTACTTCTCCAACAACGCAACAAGTTTTACCATAAGCTAGTAATTGATGTCAACTTTCAGTGAAGGGCTTCCCTCTGTTCACTTTCTTGACAAGGGCTCCACCATGTGAAAGACTTCAACTGATATGGACTTGGCTGCGACCTACCACCAGAAGAAAAGTCAGTCTCAACTCTTCTCATTATATATCTGTCTTCAAGGTTGTTGGAAATTTAGAGCATCTACTATGCCTTTTTTAGAACGAAAATTGATTTTAAACGAATATTTAACAATTGTAAATATAATATACTAAATTCATAATTTTATAACAAAATAAGAAAAATTATTCAGGATAACGAAAAGAATGAAAACTCAAATAGTGAATTATATATTCATACGAAGATTGGTTGAATGCTTTAGTATTCTTGGATTATTATTTCGTGATTTGTGACTGAACGAAAGCTAAATTGATTGAATGCTTAAACAAACAGGCAAACACAAGTTCTGGAAAAATTAATATTTTATTAATAATTAAATGAATAATATGCTTTCTGCCCTACAAGGCTACAAGTAATTATATTAAAGAAATCATAACAAAATCTAACAGCATAATGCTAAAATTAACCGTAAAAGTCATTATCTCGAAAAATTACAAAAAATAGGATAAGAAATGTAATGACTAAAAACTAGTAATTATAAAAAAAATCAAAATAATTTGAATTGGTTTAGATCTGTAACAAAAATTTCAAAATTTTTAATAATCCTGAAACGCGATTTAGGAGCCTTAAATGATGGAATTCAACTGAGCATACCTCAACAACAAAGTTATTGATTTTCAGTTTCTAATTAGGAATGGTTCTTTTATGAAGAAAACGGACATGTTAAAACTATCCCAAAAAATTGTTTTAACTCGTCCGTTTGACGTTCTACAAGGAGCTTTTGGGACTTACCATAGTTATTTGACTAAGGAATTATATTAAGGTACCATCAATGCTGTTATGAAAAAAAGAATCGAATAGGAGTTTATGAGAACAATAGAAAATTAATGACAAGAAAAATACAATAGGTACATACACAAATGAGACAAGGATTTACGTAATTCGGCTATGCCTACGTTCACGGGAAGAAGACAGAACAATATTTCACTATGAAAATAAAGAGATACAAGGCAAAGTAGCTCACACCCAAAACCCAATTACACCCAAACTCTCTCATTCACTAACTGATATTACAAACACACAACTGAATTGATGATTTTGGATGCCATAAACCAGGTGGAGCAAAGGCTATTTATAGCCAAAAATGGGTCACCTAAATAATTGGTCATCAAGTATATACAAAAAAATTTCTTTGGAAGCTTTGTCAAATGAGCTTGCTGTGCACACTAAAAAACTTGCTCATCACACATGCTTGAAGCCCAAGTTGATGATGTAATGGGTAATGAAAATACTGATTTCAAATTTGAGCCATATGTTCAACAAATCTCCACCTTGACGAAAATTCAAATTTGAGCCACTATATGTTCAAATTTAGGCATAAATGAGACATGGCTTGGATCAGAAAATCTAAATCATCTACTGTAGCTGAGCATGAATATTCAACGCTTGAGCTTAATTCCCAGTATATCTCTTCATCCATCCAAATCCAAAGAGAATCAATGCCCTAAAAATGTGGTTGGATTATTTGGTTAGGCTTAAATGAGACATACCTTGGATAGGGCTGCAATCAAGCCGAGTCAAGCCGAGTAAGGGCTTGTTCGAGCTCGGCTCGATCATGAAACTATAGTACTCGAACTCGGCTCGAGCTCGACTCGAGCTCATTTGGTAGTGCTCAAGCTCGGCTCGTCCAATATTAATGAAATTCGAGGTCAGCTTGATAGCTCGGTCGAGCTCAGCTTAAGATTGGTTATTTTAATTTTTCAAAATGGCATTTCAAAATCAATACAAGCAACCTTTTTTCTTTCATTCTGTTTTATTTTAATTTTTTTGGTAGAACAGAATCATACAAAGAAATAATTCAGCACAATTATAGCCAAAGCATACCCCAAGCATTTTCTTACATATTAGAAAAATAACATTATAAGTATTAAAATGGCCATTCCCCTATACATCGTGAACTTGTTAGGCATAAGGTAACATTACAAGTATTAAGAACGGCATTTCCCTGCATCATGAACCTGTTAGGCATACCCTTGCCAATGATAAGCCCAAATTATACCCCTACCAATATCTTACAATCTGCAAGAATTAGTAAATATCAATTTTTTTCATAAGACATGGCTTCTTTAGAAGTTGAAGATTTTTTTTATTTTTTATTTTTTAATAAACTCGTACAATTCTTACCAGTGAACCAAAAGAAGTGGATAGTCATTACAAAAAGA